TCCGTGTTGACTGACCTACACAGACTGACCAGCGCGCGTGTATATGCTTACACATCCATGCTTATCTTATCTTGGCATATGTATGTATGTATCAAATCAACAACATACGTTTATATTTTTATGCGTGCAAGTGTTTGTGTGGATGGATAGATGGATGAATCGATGGATTTTTTTCCAACCGGGAGATCAATCGAGAATAATTTTTAAACAGTATAAGAAAATAATATAAAATTTGTTTAACATATTTTTACAATAAAAAAAATTATTTAAAAATATTTTTGAAACAAGTCGGCCTAACATATGTTTGAATGTGGACTTGGGTAGGTCGTCTGCTGGGTAGATAGGTGACGTGGCTATCGTCAGAAGATGAGCTAAGGCTAAAATTAGAAAGCCTATTTTTAGCAACAATAAAATCTTTTCTAATTTCTACTAACATTCTCTTTGGAATTACGAATATATAAGTATGAAGTCTAATCATCACCATTATCAGCATCACCATCATTACATCCACTACCATCATCATCAGTGAAATTACCGTTAGCAGCAAGCAAGCGTTTAGTCTTAACAACTAGTTGACATTAATTGAGAGAATTAAAAAAATTAATTAGCATGCTTCTGATAGAATCGATGAATTTTGGATCATCTTCGTCGTCGTCATCACTGTCACCACCACCACCACCACAATCATCGTCATCAACAACAACAACAACAGCAATAATAATAATAATAACGATATTTATTGCAAACATGTTCTAGGAATGTAATTTGAAGTCATCTTAGTATGGCTGCCCTTGGTCATTTTAATCACCATGCATGCATACATACGTTTAACATCGGGGTAGCTCTATGGTTTTGTTTCTATGTACATTCGTGCTTTTTGTGCTTGTATGTTTATTTGTTTGCTTGTACGTGTGTGTATGTATGTGTGTGTGCAGGTTATTTTCGTGTTTGTTTGTTTGTTTGTTTACTTGTTAGTATGTATGTTTTTTTACTACGTTGTAAAGGTCATAAGTGATCTTTGCGTCGGTTTGTTTTATGTATTTTTTGTATGTTGTGTTTATATGTACCTAGTTTGTTTTTTCAGTTTGTATATTTATTCTTTTGTTTGTATGTTGTGCTTGTACGTATGTACGTACGTGATTTTTGCATTTGTATGTGTGTATGTTGCACGTGTTGTTTCGTTTGTATGTTACGTTTAAATGTCTTTTCTGAAGTATTTTTGCTCAATCATTTGTATTTTAAGGTATTTCATTTTTGTTTATGTAATTTTTCAATTTTAGACAAATTTATTCTTGTAAATGTTTTTATGTAGTTGCTTTTATGTGTTTTGAATTGTTTGCCATGCAATTCTTTGTATCTAAAATTTCCTAAAAAATTTCACATATCTTATTTTGTGTTCAACAAATTTATACAAATTTGACTTGTTTGTTAGCGTGCGCGTGTGTGTGTGCCTGTGTACTTGTGTGTGACTTGTTAGTGCAACAGGAGAAGCACAACTAGAGAGGCTGATATAAATAGATGCTGCTCTTTTCATCCCGTAAGGCATCTGATGGGAAATGTGTATCACGTGCTAGGATATAAGGTGATTTGTATTTCTGTGATGACATCAAGGTGAGGTGAGGTGATGACGACGATGATGGTAGTGTTGATATGATGACGTTTGTAAAGCTACGATAATTATGATGATGATGACGGAGAGGATGATGATGATGACGATATTGAAATGATGGTGATCATCATCAAAATGACGATGATGTTGAGGTCTAGGTGAAAAGGTTGCCAGCAAAAACCGCCGGACGCTAGGTCGCCCAGCACCATGGTAGCCAAGCATTAAGATCGCCTGACAATAAGGTCTTTATAAGGTAGAAAGGTTAAAAATATCGCCATTACTCTAAGGTTTGAAATTCTACCTACTGTACAGGATTCGAAAGCACGGTCCACAAAACGATGTTCTAATGGAATAGTTTTTTAATTATCAAGATTATGACGTCGACAACCAAAATAAGTGATCGCTTGTCTGTACAAAACTTACATGAAAATTTTTACATGAACACATGAAGGGTTCCATAAATTTTAAACATTGAAATTCAAACTCTATGCTGTACCACGTAGATATCAATATTATTAATCATGGCATAGTTGCCAGCAGCTGCCGCGGTTCCGGTCGAAACATCTCTGTAGATTTTTTTGGCTGACGGGTGGTTGTCGACTTTGAATGAAGTGTTCGATAGGTGCCTGATTGAACCTCTGCCCAGTTCTCGAGCTATCAATTAGTTTCCATATAGTTGGATGATGTGCTCCAACTACTTCATTGAATCGGCGATACCAACCCAACTGCGTTGCTCGTGGCAGGTAGATTCTCAGCAGCTGCATCGAAGAAATTTGTAACACTCTAAACAGCAATTAGTAATAAAACGCGAAGATTTTTTATGAGTCGATTATTATTATATTATTATTATATTATGTTATTATTATTATATTATGTTATTATTTTTATCTATTATTGTTTATGTGGTTTCATTGCTTTGCAACCTCCCTATCATGCGGCTTTTGTGTTCTGCGATCTTTGTGTTCTGCGATCTTTGTGTTCGGCGACCTTTGTGTTTTGCGACTTTATTGTTCGGCGACCATATTGTTCGGTGACCATATTGTTCTGCGACCATATTGTTCTGCGACCCTATTGTTCTGCGACCTTTGTGTTATGCGACCTTATTGTTCGGCGACCTTACGCTGGCGGTCTTTTGTCCGGCGGTCTTTCCACTCGACACCGGTGTTGATGCGATAAACGTTGACGTTTAAACATAAACACCATTGCGATGCAATGTCTATCCTGCGTTGTCTATCCTGCGTTCGAGATAATGGGAAGATTGACGAGAATGATGATTTCCCTAATGACGTCAAAAGTCGTTTTGACAAATGAGAAGCAATTATTAGGTGGATGATGATGATGATGAAATGATGACGTGACGACAACGATGATGAGGATGATAGTGATGATGATGAGGACTATGATGACGACAAAAACGATATGATAATAATTATGATGATAAAACTAATGATGATGGATGAGGCGGATGGTAAGGATGGTGATTGGACAATGACGACGATAAGCTTCATGTTTATTGACGACATCGTAGTAGCGATAGAAGCGAGTAGAAGCCATTAACGTCAAACCATCGTGTGTGATTATAAATAAAATTCATCATAATTGTTTGAATTAAAACTATATTAAAATTTAATTGCGGTAAAATTGGTTTTGAAAAAATCTAATTGGCAATGTTTATTTATACAAAATAAATTATCTTAATGCATTTTTAATTGCTCTAATTGAAAATCTTTTCAGCTCTTTAATTTCAATAATCTAAATTATCTCAACCAAGAAGTATTTTTGAATTTGTAACGATGAAATTAAGTGCTTCATAATTACTATAACACCCCGTTTTTCGAATAATGTTCAATTAAACATTAATTCAAATTGTGCTTAACGCCATAAATTAAGTACTAATGGTTCTTAATTAACTTTTAATTAAGATGTATTAATTATGTGCCAAGTACGTTCGCATAGTGAACGTCATTACTGTTTGATGATTAAAATTTAATTTATTTTAAAATTTTATCTCTTGCTACTGCACGCACGTATATATATGTGTGTGTGTCTGCTTGAGCGTCTGTAGGATCAACTCGAACGACTGCTGCAACTAACGTTTCGACTGCCACTCCACAAGGCTCTCACTGACGCTACTACATTCAATTATTATACATCAATACTATTTCGTTTTTTATTATTTTTTTCTTTACTAGCCTTGGGCACTCATTGACCGAGGCTAGTTGTTTTTTCAAAGAACAAATATTTTGTTCTCGTGTGAAACTAGTAGGAACTTGAAGTTATTTTTTTAAGTTTTGGGGCAACACATTGCAAATATTTAAAAAATATAACTACAAATAATCATTCAGTCAGTTGTGTTGAATTATAGATGCAAATGATCGACTATATGGTGTGTTTATTTGTAACAATACTTTTAATGCAAGTGATGAATTTGTGTTCAAGTTTAAATGATTTCATAGAAATAAAATCTAATGTCGAATGGGCAAGAAATGCTCCATCGCCACAAAGGAAACAATTCAAAAATAAATTTACTTGAAAAGTACACAAAAGTCAAGTGCAAGTACTCAAAAGTTTAAACTTGTTCTTTGAAAATGTTAACAGGAAACTTTGTTGTCTTGTCAAGATCAGCTACAACATCAGCTACAACATGACCTACAACATCAGCTACAACATCAGCTACAACATGACCTACAACATCAGCTACAACATCAGCTACAACATCAGCTACAACATCAGCTACAACACCAGCTACAACCTTTGCAGCCACATCATCAACAAAATAGTTTACAAAAATTAATATCAACATTACCAACAGTAATCTCAACAATAATATCAACAACTACTACAACGTCAACAACAATATCAAGAAGAACAGCCCTTCTAGACGGTTTGTGAGACGTCGTTATTAATTAACGTGCTATAACTCTATCAGTTCCTGTTTAGATTCTAATTAGCAGAGCGTGTATTAAAATAAAAACATCAAAACAGCCCACACAAATGAAACATGTTCATAGAACTAATCTTAAACCCTGGAGAAGGCATCATTTGATTAAATCTTGCAAGAACACGAAACACCATCACTCATCTCGACGCTCGCCGCAATGTGTCGCTTGTTGTTACTGTTTTATTACAGTAAGAAGAAGTTAATGCCTCTTCGTTTAAAACAAATTAATGTTCGAAAGTTGCGAAACTATAAAAACAAAAAATATTATTATTGCAAGCAAGTAAGCAACCATAAAAGCCGATAAAACATTTAAACAGGTGCACAAAAAATAGATTCAAAGTACTCGGACAAAAATGCACATAAACATCAAAAAAATATGCACTCTTAAAGCCAGAGCACATACATTTGCTTTCATGTGTATGTGTATACACTAGCACACAGACGCACCAGCAAGTGCACGCAAACGTATGTGCACGCACACATACAGAACTGCACACACACTGAGGCAGAGTGCACGCATCAGATAGACACACTTGCATTCAAACTCAGATGACTGAAACATACGATAAGCGTGTTGTACACTGTACACAGATCGACACAGATGACAATCGAATTGAATGTGCTGCAAAAGAACCACACCTGTATGTCCTACCTTTCTCTCTCTCTCTCTCTCTCTCTCCATTTTCTTTCTACTTTCTCTTTCTTTTTATCATTTTTTAATTTTCTCTTTCCTTCCTATTTTTAGTCATATTCTTTTCGGCTTTTTTCCTTCGTTTTTTGCCTTCTTTCTCACTGCCCTCTCTTACCTCCCTTGTTTCTCTCCGTTTTTCACTCTCTTTCTTCAGATTCATAACTACTCTGCAAACTTGTAAAAAAATCATCGTCGTTTAGTTATTGTATTGCCATCATCATCATCATCATCATCATCATCATCATCATCATCATCATCATCATCATCATCATCAACATCATCATTATAATTCTTGTTCCCAACGCCTTCATCATCGTTCCTAACCTCATAATAATCATCTTGACGACCGTATTTTCATTTTTATCACTTTTCATCCCCACAACTATCTTCATCGTGTTTTCAACAGCATCGTCATTCTGTCACCATCTTCATCATAGCAACTGTCTTCCATATATCTTTCATCATCATAATAATTGTCTTCGTCATCTTTATCATCATCATCTTCATCATTTTCTTCATCGTCTTCATCATCGTCTTGCTTGAGAGCGCTATGCACCAGCTCTTATACAAATAAACGAAAAAATATACATTTATGGGCATTATATATATATATATATATATATATAAAACATGTATATATATATATATATATATATATATATGTTTATGTATAAGAATATATAGGCTTATATTTGATGCATTAGTATGGCAGATAGTACAAACAAAAAAGCACTACGTCGTAGTCATCCTTGTCATCGTCATCGTCATCATCCTCCTCTGACGTCAGAACAACGTCACAGCCGTGTTGTTTACGTTGTTGAGTTGTCTGTGTGTGTGTGTGTGTGTGTGTGTGTGTGTGTGTGTGTGTGTGTGTGTGTGTGTGTGTGTGTGTGTGTGTGTGTTGTTTTCGGCCGCTCCTATTATTTATTTAGTACTTAAATTATTTTATTCGGTACTTGAGTTATTTTATTAGAGCTCTGGAGTCCTGTTGTCAATTGAAAGTATCGCTTCTATATTTTCTTCTATGAGGGCTTAATAGAAATATTTTAAATAACATTCAACGTTGAAATATCGCAGAAATGAGTGGAAAATAAATTACATCATCCATGCTGCCAAATAAATGTCTGGCGCGTGGGCTTTAGAGGAAATGATGAAGATGATGACGACGATGACGACGATGGTGTTGTGATGACGATGACATTTTTGATAATGACGACGACAATTATCAAGATATGATAATGATGACGTCATTATTAAAATTTTTTTTTCCAGTAAATTTGGCCACAGTGGTATGTCTTCTCTCCTTATCGTCTTAAACATACGTGGCTGGCACACATGTATGATTGTCTGAGATTATATGCGATCACATAATCTCTTTTTTAGGTATACGCACACTCCATAAATTACTCTTAATAAAAAGAATAATATATATATTTTTATATATACATTATAGATTGTACATTTTATATATCCATGTATTTATTTATGGACAGACGTGTTTGTTTGTTTGTTTGTCTATGTTTGTGTGTGTGTGTGTGTTTCTACGGGGTTCTTCATAATATGTGTGTTTATTGTGGTATTAAAAGTATAATAATATTATTAATATTTTTGCAGTTTTTGTGCAATAAGAAATCAATAAATTTTGCCAAATTTATTGAACTGGCAACATGTGTTTGTTACCAGCGCTTTTACCAGCGGTTCGGTTGATACAACAACAAAAATGTTATTTTATTAGGAGTATTAAATGGTATATACACATTTTCATGTTACACCCAAATGCACAAACACACACACACAAACGCATCTTACACGTGCACACATATGTATATATATATATATGTATATATATATTAAATTTGATGACGTCAATGTAGAGGAACTCATTTTCAAGAACATTGTTAAAATGAAGTCAGTGGGCGAGAATCTGTCTCGTGTTGGTCTGAGCCATGATCTGATTGTTGAACAGAGAAACGAACTTAAAAAATTCTTGGATGACGCCAAGCAGGTGGAGAAAAATTCAACAGAGGATTTTTCATACAGAGCAAGAGGAGATGTTGGAAAATGGAAAATAGTTAATTTTTTGGCAAAAACATTGATAAATGGACGACTGAGCCTGGGGTATGATTTATACGGCTCGATCAAACGTGGTAGTCATGGTTTTAACCGTAATGATGATAATAACAGTAATTTGAATGAAAATTTTAATCTTGGTTTGCTAAATGTTAGATCAATTGCACCTAATGTTGATGGAGTTTATGGCCTAATTAGTGATGGGTTGGATGTGCTGGTGTTGACTAAAAACGGTTTGATGCCGATTCATCAGTCAGCATATCGACGACTCCACTCAACTGAGACAGCGTTACTTCAGGTTTTGTCAAACTTGTTTTCAACAATGGATGTTCAAAACATTTCATTACTGTCGTTCCTGGATATGTCGTCAGCGTTCGACTGTGTCAACCATGGTATACTTTTGAAGATGTTGCGGTACAATAACGGATTGAATGACACTGTTTTTGCGTGGTTTGAGTCATATCTGACGGATCGAACAGAGCAAATCTTGTTCAATAATGTGCTGTCTGATGTTGAAATGGTCAAATCAGGGGAACCTCAGGGATCTATTCTCGGACCTATTCTGTTTATATTATATACATCAGATGTATTTAAAATTATCAATTCTCAGGAATTTGCCTGCCATGCATTTGCGGATGATATTCAAATTTTGGTGACTGGTCATCCTGTTTTTCCAAAGCTGAGGTTGATAAACTTGCCAAATGCTTAGCGGAGGTTGGAAAATAGATGTCACGTAACTCATTGAGACTCAATCAGTGCAAAACTCAGCTGCGTCCGGTTGGCACATGGCAGCAGTTGGTACAATTAAATGTAAATTCCATCACTGTAAATGATGTTAACATACCGTTCATTCAGGCTGCTACCAATTTGGGAGTTTTGCTTGATAGTAGATTATTGATGAAGGATCATATAAAGATGATATCAGTTTCATGCATCTCTTGTCTCTGGAACTTATATAGAATAAAGCACTGGCTTGGAAACTGTGTGAAAAATTGAAATAAGGCCTATCTGCATGATAAATTTGGATAACAGTTTCATTAAATTTTTACGATGAATTGGATAACAACTCTATAATAAATTGAACAAATTCTGGTAAGGAAAATTGAAAAGACAAACTTTAGATTGAGTAATGCCAACAATTTGGTAGAATTCATACAGTACTGTATATATACATGCAATTTATAAATAACTGTTTTGTATGTGTGGACATCTTTTAATACAATTAATGTACATATATTAATTGTATCTCCGTATGCAGACTTAAGCAATAAAAAGCGTATTTGATGAAAAACTATATATATAGTTGCCTATATGCTCGCCCAATGTAGGCATTCATATATTTGTACAGTATATATATAAACGCATACAATTTTTTATACGCACGTACTGAAACACGCACACGCGCGCACACATGAACATTCAGATAAATACCTAATCTACAAACATATGGAAGTAAAACAACAATGGAAAGTTTATCGTAATTTAGTTAATTTTAATTGGTTGGTATGTCGCTAATGCTCTTCCTTTTATTGCTTTTCAAATTTTCTGTCGTTTCTTTTTGAAAAATGTTTTGGAGGTTTTTACTTAATAATTAAATTTGGTTGATTTGTTTTAAAACAGATGTGAAATGTTACAATTATTGTGTATGCTAATGAAGTAACTATCAAATTACTTACATACTTCTTAATTTTGTTCGGAAGCAAATATAATATATCGAATCGTATCGTAAATATTCCCACTCATGCTGTTTTTTTATAGTGTGTTAATTACATTGTTGATCGTTTCATCATTTTTTAAAACTTAAATTAAAGCTACACTGCTAATACAACAAGTAAATTTTTAGATTTATTATGACTATTTACTAAGAAGAGAAACACAACAACAACAACAACATAAACAACAACAACAACGAGACATTAACATCGTCAACAACATACAACAACAACACAACAACAGCAACATTGGCAACATAGAAAGACGTTTGGTCTATTGTTGCAACAACTATTAAGTAACAACAACAGTTACTGAATGACATCAACATCGTACTCTGAATAACATCATAAACAACAACAACAACCACATTTCAGTTCGACAAAATCACTACATTTCCACCACTACCACCTCAATCATCGTCGTCGTCGTCTTCACCATCACCTGTCTGCTTGAAGTCGCATTTTATCACATGAATAAAAACATTGCATACGTACGTACGATTATCAAGTTAATTATCTTTCCATCGAGTCTAGAACTTAATTTGCTTCAGCCGATAGCCTTTTATTTTATCTCATTTCAATTAATCATCTAATGACTGCAAATCATAAAGAGGAATGTAGGTTAATGATGGCAATGATAACAAAGATGATGATACTATTTGTTATCAAATTTAATACTTTAATTAATTAACTGAATTACATTTCATTAATATCAGTAATAAATAATTTTATTCTTGAAATTATTTTCAGAAAGTTTGAAGTACATGTAAGAAAAACATCAAAATCGTCATTAATTCACGTTATTGAGATCCTCAAGTGAATCAATCAATCATCATTCATCAACATCAAAGCCAGTAACTACAACAACATTGTCAACAACAACAACAAAATCAGTAACAATAATTGCAGCAACAACATTCTCATCTGTGACAGCAACTGCAACAACAATAACTACTACTGTTACTGTCACAACAACAACAATTTTCAACAACAACTACAACAGCGTTTACAAAATTAACAATAGCGCAAAATTGTAGCGTCGACGTTACATTGATTTTAGTGAATAAAAAATACTTGAATGGCAACAACAATAAGAATAAATTAAATAATAATAATAACAGAGAGTTAAAAATAATTTTTCAGCCCAGCAACGACAACAACTACTACTGCTACTACAACTACTACTACTAATACTACTACTACTACTACGACTACTACTACAGCAGGGAAATAAGGCAACAACAAAAAATATTGATGCACTTTTCTATCTTGTCGCAAGAGCCTAATTTTACTGATTAATAATTCATCTACGACCAATAATTCATCATCGACCAATATCCTATCAAATCAGAAATATACATTTGCTGTAGGACATCAGCTGCCACGTCTTGTTATAACAAATAATCACAGACGTACTATAATATTTAGTTGCCACCAAAACATTCACATTTGAGACGATAAAAGCAACTTAATCAGGAAACATGACAGCAGCCCAAAATCTCCATGCAACTTACATCGCTACCATCATCGTCGCCATCATCATTGTTCTTCTCACCTCTTCTGTCAGCTCCCAAGAAATTGCAAACAATCCGCACGTGCAAGGAAATGGCGGGTTGCACGGTGATGACGTAGGTCCTGACGTCATCACTAACCACTGGAAAGTGGTCATGAATAGGGATGTGGAGGAGGAGGAGGCGAGGCACATCGCCAAGAGGAATGGATTTTCGTACGTCATGCCGGTTGGTGAAATTGTTACTTTACTCACTTATTGGTGTTTGCACAATAAATTTTATAACTACCACAACAACTGCTGCTGAAGTTATTGTTGCTGCTGTTGTTGCTGCTTCTATCTTATGTTGACGCGCGTTTGCAGTTGACGCATGAATTAAATATTGTTATTGACATGACTTTGCAAATTAGGAAATCTCTTTCTTCTGACTTATTTGTTGCCAAATGCTACAAAAACTGCAGCTACTTGCAGCCACTGTAGCACATTTGTAAGGAAACATTGAAAAACGTATTACATTTGAACGACGCAAATGCATTTTGACAGGTGTTGAGGTCGAAACGCGAGTTCCACTTCGAACACAAACTCGTTCAACGCGCCAGAACCAAGAGGAGCGTTGACCTCTCGAGGAAACTGAAAACAGAACCAGCTGTTAGTGCTGTTATTTCACTTCATTTGTTGGTGCTTGTTAGGTTTTGTTCATTTTTGTTGTCTATAGGTAGACTACTGGTTTGTAATTGTTTGCCTTTTTTGTTGATCGGTGTTTGTGGTGTTTGCAACTTTTACCGCAATGTTCTTTGTCGCTATTTAATAATTATCACAAAATTTTTTATTTTATATCGCACCTGTTTTTGATGTGGCCAATACAAATTTTAAACAAATCAGAACAAATCAATGAAATAACAACATTTTGGTGTTTGAATGTTTTCACATAACTATATTGCACATCAGCTTATGCCAATAAAACATGCAAAAGTATACGTATGAAAGTAAAAACACACAAGCTTGTGTACAACTATCGAGTGTACACAGCGTACAATACTTGAATGTACACATAAGCGAGAGTACATATGAAGCTGTCTAATGTTATTTCCATTTGCATCGCTCCTCTCCATGACGTAAGCAGGAAAATTGTACGCTACGCTGTCGATACACATGTGCGTGTGTGCACGCGCGTGTGTGTACGTGTATGCGTACGTAAGCGTGGGAGAATTGCATTGTGTACATTATCGATTTTGTGTGCAAAAGTTTAAATATTTATGTACGTATGATGAATGCATGAGTAAAACATTGTTGTAAGCGGTACAATTCAAGCACATGCACACATGTACGCATATCTGTGCAACAAAAATACGCAAACAAGCACCCACGTACATACGTAACGTAGGTGTACGTATGTGAGTGTATGTACTATCATTATATAAGGAGGTCTGTAGATATTTGTACGTGTTGTTACGTTTTTGCGGATGTTCACATGTTCTCTGGCTGTTTGATCATTTGGAAGAACCTCTTGTTGGACGTTGCGTTTGAAGTGGAGCAGGTATGCGCTGTCTGCCACCCAACCTAACCACTTGTTCACCAACTGAAGTGAGTGAGTAGGCGAGTAAAATAGAAATGTGAGGTGAGTATAAAAGATGAGAAAACATTAAAAAAACTTGCGAGTGAGGATAAAAAGAGGAACGAAAAATGTGGAAAAGTGTGATAGAAATGTATAAATTGTGGAGGAAGAACCGCAATTCATAAAAAAGAGAGGTGGAGACTGGAGAGAGAAAATTTAATTAAGAAGCACTTGTTGTCGAGTGTCGTTCCTCTGCGGAGGTCTTGTGAAATTTATCGTCATATTAATTTTTGTGCACTCAGATTAACGTGAACACACACGTACGCACGCGCGCACATTTATTCTCTAAACTTAAACATGTTTACTTTTTATACATACAAGTAGGCAAAAAACCAAACATAAACACTTTTTTCTTTAAGCTCACACAAACAAACACCCACACAAAAACAAACACACAAACAAACACGCACGCGTACAAACACGCACACAAACACGCACACGCACAGGTCGCAGAGGCCATACAGCAGCCTGGATACTTACGCAGCAAGAGGGGGTACAAGCAGATCCGCGGCATTCCACTGCCCGACCTCACGGAGCACTCCAACATGGCAAAAACTGACGCCGCACCGAATGACCCCCTTTATCCGAAACAGTGGTATATTGTAAGTAGTGATGATAACGATGATGAGGATGACGATGATGATAATAAGATGACGACGATGATGTTGGTGTAAATAATTATGACGATAATAATTAATGAATAATAGTTGTAAAAATGATAAGGGTGACAATGGTGACGATGGTGCTTCGTTATGACGTTCATGGTGAAAAATGATAATGTTGATGATGATGTTGAAGACGATGAAAATACTGGCGGTAATGTTAGTGTGATGAAAAACATGACGTTGGTGACATGGTAAAATAAAATAAATTTTTTTTGTTGCTATTAAGGATTTTTATCTCGAAGCAAAATGTTTGCATTGAACACTTCGTTACATTTTACGACCACCCAACAATAACATCGTCATCATTACTTCTACCACAGTAATCATCATTGACATCATCATCACCACCACCGCCATGTTCATTGCTGACGTCATTCATCATCATCATCATTATATCATCGTCACCGTCATCACCATCACTACATCTTCACTACATTAGAACAACACCGGCCAAGCGGGTGGGGTACCAAAACTGGACTTGAACGTGGAGCCAGCGTGGGCACTGGGGTTCACTGGCAAGGGGGTGACCACGGCCATCATGGACGATGGCATCGACTACATGCACCCTGACCTCGCTGATAACTTTGTTAGAATTCTCCCTCGTTACGAATATTTATTATTACAAAATTTATAGTTGTATTGTTATAGTCATTAATATTGCTACTATCACATTAGTGTGCCGCTGTTAATTAAATAATAAATTAATTCTTTAAGAATGCAGAGGCGAGTTACGACTTCAGCAGCAACGATCCCTTTCCGTATCCTAGATACACGGATGACTGGTTCAACAGGTGGTTACTATATCTCGGATTAAATAAAATATGACAGGACAACTATAATAAATCTACGAAAATTATTTTATTAATTATTTTTATTACTGTTTTCTATCGGTTGCTGTATGGATTTGTTAGCAGTCACAGGGTCATTACATGCCAGAATTATCAAATAAATTTTTTTGTCGGCATATTTCGCGTTAACCGCGTCATCACATTATCCTCACATAATTATTTTATCACCTTCATCGCATTTTATCATTTTTTATACCCAATTTCATCATTTTATCATCATCGCCGTGACCACCACAGCCATGGAACGAGATGCGCTGGCGAGATAGCAGCCATGAAGAACAACGAGATCTGCGGCGTCGGTGTGGCCTATGAATCAAAAGTGGCAGGTTCGAAAACACGCTCACGCAGATTCGCCCAACTGTATAATTTCAATGTGTCTATAAATTCATCATTCCAATGCTAATTCTTTACTTATTTTACTTGTTGGCATTTGTATCGTCACATTGTTTTTCATACAGGTCGCCAACATCATCCAACACTTTCAACACATCAGCATCATCATCCTCATCTTCCACACCCTCATCTTCCACATCCTCATCCACTCACCTCTACCTTCATCCACCCAGGACTTCGCATGCTGGATCAGCCCTACATGACAGACCTCATCGAGGCCAACAGCATGGGTCACATGCCCCAGAACATCGACATATACAGCGCAAGTTGGGGGCCAACTGACGACGGCAGGACGGTCGATGGGCCCCGTAATGCCACCATGAGGGCCATTGTGAAGGGGGTGAATGAGGTGAGGTGGCTGGGAAGATGGTGGTAATGTCTTAGGGTCTTATTGTTGAAGATGGTGATTATTATAATAATTACTGAAGATGTTGGCAGTGTCTTAGCGTCTTAGCGTCTTGGCAAATGGTACCTACTGAGAAATATTATGTTTTGAAAAGGATGATAATGTTGGTGGTATCTAATAAAAAATTTATTTCAAATTGGATTCAGGGTCGCAATGGTTCTGGTTCGATTTACGTGTGGGCCTCAGGAGACGGTGGCCCGAATGACGACTGCAACTGCGACGGATACGCCGCCAGCATGTGGACCATCTCAATCAACTCTGCTACAAACGACGGGCAGACTGCTAGCTACGACGAGAGTTGCTCATCTACGCTTGCATCCACTTTCAGTAATGGGAAAACTGGAGACCAGGACGCTGGAGTGGTAAGTAACTTCGCTGAACTGTTGTCGTTAAAATGACAACAACTATTTTTCGTCATCATAATAATATAATCTTTATATTAATAATCTTTATATTATCACAATAATTATAACAGGCGACTACAGATTTGTACGGCAAGTGCACCACGAGGCACTCTGGAACGTCGGCTGCAGCCCCTGAAGCGGCAGGAGTGTTTGCATTGGCGCTCGAAGCTAAGTAAGTTTTCATTGGAAAAAAATTTGCTGATATTTTTTATGCAACTTAACAATCATTCTCTTAAAAATTCCGCAAACAATTTCACAAACAGTAACAAATTAACTTGGAGGGACGTCCAACACTTGACAGTGCTGACTTCGAAGAGGAACCACTTGGATGACCACAAGCACCGTCACAACTGGACAATCAATGGAGCAGGCTTGGAGTTCAATCATCTTTTTGGCTACGGAGTTCTGGATGCTGGAGACATGGTGGACATGGCTAGGAATTGGATAACAGTCCCAGAACGTTGGCATTGTTCAGCTGACGTCATCACTGGAAACTAGTGAGGGAAAAAGTTTTAAAAATTATTCATCAGTTATCAAATTCACGTAAATGCTCTTCTTGTCGTGACTGAAATTAAATACGTATATACAATTTTTTACCAACTTGATTGTAATCTTATTTCTATCATCACTATTTAAAGTATTGTCATCATCAACATTTTCATCATCGCACAGTCCATTTTCAACTGGGAACCCGCTGACATTGACGATTGACACGACGGCTTGCCAGGGTCAGGAGAACCAGGTCAACTATTTGGAGCACGTGCAAGCTTTCATAACTTTGAGAGCAACGAGACGTGGTGACGTAACTATTCATCTGGTCTCGCCTATGAACACAACGTTAGTGAAGATGGTGTAGCTGCATGGATCGTTAATAAAACATCGCTTGAGAACTTATATAATTGAGTCGGTTTCAAACCGTTCATTTCAATTTTTTATTTCGATAAATGTAATTGTTTCAAAATTATTTTTCCCATCTGTCCATCACAGATCCATGCTGCTGGGAAAACGTGTCAACGACGGAAACAGCAAATCCGGTTTTACAAAATGGCCGTTCATGACGACCCACGCATGGGCTGAAAATCCGAAAGGTCGATGGCGCCTCATCATTTCTTTGGACGGCAATGAACCTCAAAGTGGAACCTTGTTGGAATGGAATTTACTTTTACACGGAACCCGCACATCACCGTACGTCCAGCAGACGGCCAACTTGTTACGTCATTCAAAACTAGCTCTGGTCAAAAGACAGCATGAGACGGACAGGAAGTTTAGCGAGTTTTGAGAAGCTTGAAGAGGGAAGGATAGGAAAGGCATCTGTTAATAAAATTATTATTACTATTTTGTTTATTATTTAAATTTTTGTTAAAATTATTACTAAAATTTTCAATATAATTCAACTTAAACACTTATTTATCCTTTATTGTAAATAAATTTATAGCTATGAGAGCATTTGAAAATTATAACTGCAGATTTAAGTTAAAAAATTTAAGCATTTTTCTTAAGGTTGAAATTACTCTCTTACCAGGCAACATATTTATTTACTACAAATTTCACGTATTGAATTTGCTCGAATAATTTTCAGTTGAAAGTAACTATCATTATTAATTACCATCTCTCACTATTTTATAACTGTCATCATCGTTAATATTATAAATATTATCAAACTTGAAAGAACTTGATAGAACAGGCTGCGAAGAAAGGACTAAATGTAGTAGCAGGAAATAATAATAATAATAATTAATAATTATAATAATAATAAATAATAATTAAAAAAAGATCCGACATATGACGAATTTCTTCATGCTTATTTCTGCTGTTTAACCGCTATCGTTCATCTTTCCTTCATAAACATTACTGCATTTTACACATTTCATTCTCTCGAATAATTATTATTAATTATGTATCTACGCGTATATATAATACAATAAACCTAATAAATATTATAAAATATAAATAATAGGTTATATATGTATAATAAGTAATATATATATAGATTAGTATCTTATTGTACCTGTGTAAAGAAGAAACTTCAAACATCTTGGTATTAGAGGCGTAAATCACACTTAATTTATATTGATAAAATGTCTTCTTGATATCCATATATTTACGAAAATATGAAAATTATATATATAATATTGCACATGTACGTATACACACCACACACACACACACACACATACATATATATATATATATTTATTTATTTATATTTATTTATATTTATATATGCACACTTGCTGAATAAAAATGTTTGCATATATATATATATATATATATATAATATATATATATATGTATATAACTGTGAACAATGTACCATATATAGTGTACCATGTATATATAATATATTGTAATTTTAAAATATTTAAAAATATTTAAATTTTGCATTACTATTACTTAATTACTTAATTTTAGCATTATATCGGTGGAGATTGAGTAAATATGGTAGTAAATCTAACGTTGTGTATATAATTATAATTATTATATATAATTATATTCATTTATTCAAATAAAGAACATACTTAGTCATTGTAGCATTTATCTTATTTTCATTTGAAACCTTGTCGAAATAGAACTTACTCAAATATTATTTTATTAACTTTATTGAAATATATACAATTGGTGTTGTCTTATGCATTCAATTGGCGAGTAGCAGTATTAAAATAAAAAAAATGATAAAAATATTTAAAATTTAATAAGTAGCATGTTCACTAACATATTGGTTATAAGCGGTCTTGGTTTGCCGTGTTGTTTGCCATGTTCACCACATTGAACGTGTGCATCGTGTTTAAGTTTACAAAAACAATATCAACATTTTTTTTCTCTCATAGGATGAAAAAAGCAGTTGATGAGAATGAAGTAAGTCTAACAAATTTGTTGCTGCTCTCGTACTTTAGTGACCAAATAAATATTATTTTTCTAAACACCACCATACCAATCTGCGAGTATGCAGGCATAATCATACTAACAATGCCAGTGTTACCTGAATAATGTAAATATTTCATTAGGCTAAAAAGTACAATTTCGGTCACAACTTAGAAAGGGGCTGTCCATAAAGGATTCCAGACTTTGAGGGGCGTAGGGCGTGACATTTTTGTAACAAGAGCGGCAAATTCTTATCTATCCGTCCTGCTATTATCAAATTATATGTTGATTCTTTTTTGTCAATACATACCTATTCCTGGCATCTTATTCGTGATACTTTGCAAGAAGCGTCTAAAATTGGTAGTAATTAAATGGTAACTCTACAAGAGATGGGTTGCACTTCAATTTCAATCTCATGAAGTTATGTGAGTTTATTTAGATTAAACGATATCAGATGCTGATTCTTATTTGTCAATACTTGGTATTAATAATTTGCAAAAACCTTTGGCAAAAACTTTTGAATGCTTTCGAAGTCTGGCATAGCATAAAAACAAGAAATATTTATTATTAATATTATTAATTTATATCGCGTCCTATGCATAGCTTCAGGAGCGCTTGGTTAATCAATGCCTTTTGACGTTTCTGTAGGCCTGGATAAACAAATTTGTACAAATTTCAGAAACATTAATTTTATTTTATGAATACCTAAAAAAGAAGTGTGTAATTAACTGTCATAACCGCAGAAAGTTGATACATTTATTATTTTCTTTTATAGCCTTCTTAATTTTGGCTAATGCATTGCCTTTAGCTCATCGCATGACATACTATTATATCAACGTTGTTATTTTTGTTGTTGTTAATATTATTAATAAGTATTTGTCAAATATCTTTTATAAACGAAAAGAAATATCAAAAGCCTCTTCAAATCAAAACAAAATGAAAATGTATACATTGAGATATATTAAGTATACATTTTAAGTCATTCAAATATGATTGAGATACCTCTTTTCTTTGCAGGCAATTGATGGGTCCATTCTCTGACAAAACTTTTCCTGGTCTTTTTTCCCTGAAAATTTTCACTTTCTTACTTTCCAATAATTATCAACATTTCTCCATCACCTGCGATGTCTAGAGAGGATTTGAAGACCATCAGTTTCTGTTTTCAGAATTCTTTGAGGAGCATTTTGGAAACTACTTCATGCAAATAAATATATCGTTTGATGGACAGTTAATTAATTTTCTCTATTTTTATTGTTTGAATAATTTTTTAGCCAGGGTTTCTCACGTAATTCATAATGTGCAGTACACTCAGTTGTTCATTTGGTTTATTTCTTTTTAATTTTCAATTCTCCAGAACTTGCTCTTGCTCTTTCCACATTTACAGACAGCAAACATCGGACTAATCAGACTGAGCTTAAGACGTTATTGAAAATAAACATACATACGTGTTTGTATACATAAATATGTACCTCCTAATTTGATTATGTCCTATTCAACGTTTTATACATTATATAAAAACACTACACATATATAATATATATTTCAAATAACATATATAAAATACAAAAAATATAATTATATAGACATCATTCTATACATATATAAAGCACGTACATACGTAATAAATAGCAAAAACATAATTATACAAAACGCCCTTACAGCATTGTAGTACGGTTACAATTTGATTACAATTTGATCTGCCGGAATATATAAATCCTAAAACTTTACTAAAACAAGCAGCCATGACTTCCTCGGACCGAATATGTATCGCCTCCAATGTGAATTTCATACGACACAAGTTTTATTAATGTATCTGCTGTTGAAATTAGAGAGCTATCGAGTTTTATTAGGTGATTTTATTTATCCTTGTAAAAATAATAGTAAGAACAAACAAGTAGACCAAGTATGTGTATTGTGTATTGTATTGTATGGTGTATTGTGTATTCATGTATTGGTATTCTTACCGTATTGTAATTGTTATATTGTATTTTATTGTATATTCGTATTGTAATTGTTAGTTAATATAATTATATTGTATTGTTTTGTGTATTCATTCTTGTATTGTATTGTATCTTAAATTATATTGTGTTTGGTTTGTTTTGTATGAAATGGTGTACTGTACTCAGTCAGTACTGTGTGTGGTATCAGTAACTGTACCTATGTGTACTGACACTGTTTGTATGTCAGTTTTATTGGTTGGTTGGTTAAAAAAAAATGTTCCTTGTATTTGTATCCGACTTACAAATTACTATAAAAATAAATAAATGATGGCCTAACTAATTTACAAAAGACATTGAAATTTTATTTTAATTTTAGTACCATTATTTATATTATTAATGTTTAATGTATAATAGTTACCTAGTTATTAGCTTGTCTGCTATTTTCATTAAAAAATGTTAGCTTTTATTTGTATTTCTTTCTATCACTTACCATCACTTAGTTAATAATATCACTGCTATCTTCTTAAATTATGGCCCATATAAGTAAAGATGAGTAAGTATTATTAAAATAAGTATTTTGTTATTGAGAATGACATCTTGATTCTTCCTGCTTGATCAATTTATTTAAAATGAATTAAAATTTAATATATATTTATTTATTAATATTAATAATCATTCAAGACCTAGAGTAGTCCAACTTTTGATCATTTAGTTAAATTTAAAATTTATCATAACTCCTATTCTTCGTCTGATGATGTCTTTGAAACTCTCAGCAATTTGTTACTTGACTGGATGATTAAGTATCGTCAAACTATGACATTTGTTATATAGAAGAACAACCAATTTAAGTTTTTTCATTAACTAAATAATTTGAAAATAGATGTTAAATTAATTAAAATGGAGCCTGACTTAATAAAATTTACAGTGTCACAATCATTTACAGTGTCACAATCGTCATTGTCACATCTATTTCTACTATCCATAACCACTCTATTCTCATAGCAACCACACATACTCAACTTGACCTCCACTACAGACAAAAAAAAACATGATGAGGCATATGACATCAGCAGAAGCTTCCAGACTGCCATATCAACAGGTGGCAGACGTTCTTGAGACCGACATTGTCCGGGGGCTGTCTGTTCATGAAGCCGAGCTGAGGAGGAAGAACCACGGAGCCAACGAATTCGAAATATCAAATGATGACCCTCTTTGGAAAAAATATCTGAGACAGGTGCTGCTGATGATGATGTTGATAGTGATGATAATCTATCATATCATTCATCCTCTTCATCATGTATGCAGTCTAGACATTGAAACATGCTGACGAACATAGATAGTCACATATTTAGTAACATCATCATCACACAGTCATCATCGTCATCCAAATTTCCATCATCATCACCACCACTCTGACGTCATCATTCATGCAGTTCAAGGAGCCGTTGAATTTGTTGTTGCTGTGTTCAGCAGCCATCAGTCTCCTCATGAAACAGTTTGATGATGCCATCAGTATATCAGCTGTTAGTTGCTGCTGCTGCTGCTGATGATGATGATGATGATGATGATGAGGAGGAGGAGGAGGAGGAGGAGGATAAATTGAAAACACTTTACTTATGCCTGCATTAAATAGTTCTTGTATGTCAGGGACTACTCAATTCCAATTAAGAAGAACTAACCTTTTTAATAAATCATGAAATTATTATAAGTATATATATATACATTTATGTATATAAATAATAATTCATTCATTTATATATAAGTTGTTATTTCCTGCAAAGTATTTGGTTATTTAAATATTTATACATTTCCTGATCATTCCATTAATATTTAACATTATCTTTTATATAATTGCAGGCAATAATTATCGTAGTCACAGTGGCATTTGTCCAGGTCGGTTCTGTTTTAGACTCTATTGTAAGATTGTATGAGCATTGAGTTGCAAAAATGTTTCCATGCAACTGTCGTATTAAAAACCATGTGTGTGTATGTGTGCGCGCGTGTGTATTTGTGTGCGTGCGCGCGCGTGTGTGTATATGCGCGTATGTGTGGATGTTATTATTGCTCTTATTTCATTGTTTATTGAACATCGTATTATTATGGCAAAACAACAATGCATCTAAAAATGCATCAATACAGGCATACAAACGTTTGTACATATGTGTGCAAACATCTATACACGCATACACACATGCATATGCGCACATACAAATATTCATAAATGGACATAAGCTGTAAGTATGTACACAAGCTTGTATGACTCAATGCATCTCTACGTTTTTACATTTAGGCAAGCATAGAGACACACGTACATACACATAGTGAAAGATAATGATACACAGACATACACACGCACGCACACATATATACACACGTGCATGTGTACTTTCTACTCATACAGGAATATAGATCAGAAAAATCATTAGAAGCATTAACTAAATTGGTACCTCCTAAGTGCCACTGGTTCGTTTATTATTATTATCATCATCATCGTTATTATTATTATGTTTATTAATATATATATATAATTATTGCCATATTGGCATTGTCCTTGTAAGAGGTTATTCAAGATTTTTTTACCTTTTTCTGAACTGTTCGACATTTTTAACCTTTCCCATTGCAAATATTTCTTGTTTTTCTGCAACTTTCATGTCACATTATCATTGCTAACAGCTGCTCTTTCACAAAAATATTTATTGGGATATAGAAAGTTAGGTCATCGAGTTAGCTCAGTCGGCAGAAGTGTTGCTCAATAATAAATAAATAAATAAAATAATACAAACATTTGTTATGCAACTTGGATGTAGAGGAAATAAAGTTTATGTTACAAAAACAATTTATTCAAACATTTAAAAAGTATCAATAAATTATATCTTATCTGTTGAATAAGTTGCTTGTAATTAACTTCTCGGAATTCCAATTCTACAGAAACATACATACATACGTTCATGAACACATTCATCGATTCACGTACATCAACACACACTCTCACGCACTCACACACACACACACATGCATACACACGCGTTCTCTCCCATACACGTACATTCACACATACACGTACACACACACAGCATACGAGATGGTACATTGGAGACCTTCCTAGCTCGAGATTTGGTACCAGGTGACATAGTCATCCTGAATGTCGGAGACCGTGTGCCTGCTGATCTCAGACTGTTTGAGGTTGGTTCGATTCGTGAGCTGATTGTTTAGTTGATGGTGAGGTTGATTAGTGGAGATGGTTTGATTGATTGATTGATTGATTGATTGATTGGTTGATTGATTGATTGATTGATTGATTGATTGATTGATTGATTGATTGATTGATTGATTGATTGATTGATTGATTGATTGATTGATTGATTGATTGATTGATTGATTGATTGATTGATTGATTGATTGATTGACTGACTGATTGATTGACTGATTGATTGACTGATTGATTGACTGATTGATTGCTTGATTTATTTATTCATCTATTTACTGATTGATTGGTTGATGGTTGATTGATTGATTGAATGGTTGGTCGAAGGGTTTTTTGTTTGAGACAAATGATTAATTGATTGTTTGAATAGATTGTTAGATTGATTAACTGGTTGAAAGCCTGATAGATGGATTGATTTTTATTTGATTGGTAGATGTATCAATGGATTGTTTTTTTAACTGGTTGGTTGATTGATTGATTGATTGATTGATTGTTGATTGATTGATTGACTGATTGATTGATCGTTCACATGGTTAATTGCATGGATGGCTGGCTAAATTAATGATCATTGATCGAATAGACGAACTAAAAAAAAGTTTCTAACAACGTAAAAAAATGAATGAAAATCGCTTTCGTTATTATTTTTTATTGTCGCATGTGATGTTGATGGTGTGATGACGATGATGATTTGATGATGAGGGTGATGATGATGATGGTGATGATTACGATGATGACGGTGGTGATGATGGTGGTGGTGATGATGGTGGTGGTGATGATGGTGGTGGTGTGATGATGAGGATTAAGATAATGATAACACGAATATCATGATGCTTTTTGATAAACAATAAGTAATATGCGGGAAAAATTTGAAAAATAACATCATCATCGATAACAATAACAAAAATTATAATAATAATAATAATTATTATTATTGTTTTTAGTGATAATAATATTAAAAATAATAATAATAGCAGAAAGGAAGATGAACAGTTGTTGTTAATGCACAAATTTTTAGGCTTAAGGGGGATTTTTCGCTCAATGTTAATCAATATATGGGTGAGCAAGCGAATGGATGAATGAATGAATGAATCGGTGAATGATTGAGTGATTGAGTAGGGGAATGAATTAGTGAATGAATCAATGATTGATTGAGTTATTGAATGAACGAATAAAAAAATGAATGAGTGAGTGTTTGAATGGGCAGATGAATAACGAGCAAAAAAACGATTAAGTGAACGAATGAATGAATGAATGAGTGAATAATTGATTGATTAAAAGAAGAATGACTGAATGAATGAATGAATGAATAAGCTAGTGATGAAATGAATGAATTAATGATTTGGATAGACATAAATAAAAATCCGAATGACCTTCTGACTATATAAATTAATCATCTTGAACTTCTTTGCTTAATGAAGTTGTTTGTTAATAATCTTTAAAACCGGTTAATAAATTTCATAATTATTATTATTATTATGTTTTATTATTATTATTGTTGTTGTTGTTGTTGTGGATTTTTGTTATTATTTTTGTGTTTGTCACACACATATGCATATATTGATTGGCTTAAAAAATTTGGTTTATGCTAATACTAACATGTATTTGAACGGCTAAATAAATATATTATGTTAATGCAACAAACATGTTTAATTGTGAGTAGTCTGTGTGTGTGTGTATCTAAGTTTGTTAGTTTGTGTGTCTATGTGTATGTGTGGGTCTCCTCTTTGTATGTCTGTGTATGTATTGCTTTGCATGCGTGTTTCTGTGTGTGCTTGTGTGTTTTGGTTTCAACATTTAGAATTATGTACTCTGACTTTTTGATTTAACTTTTTTTTTCTCGTTAGTCTATTTATTTTCTTTATTTGCATTTGTCAATTAACCATTCAATCTATCAGCCATCCATCCATTCAATCAACCATCTATTCAATTAACCATCCATTCAATCAACTACTCATAAATCAGCCATTTGTTAAATAAAGCATTCAATCAACTATTGAATCAACCATTCAATCAATCACTCACTCACTCAACCAACCAACCACCCGACCAGGCAAACGACCTATCAATAGATGAATCGAGTTTCACAGGTGAGCCAGAGCCCGTATTGAAGAGCAGTGACACGACGAACCCCTCCGTGAACGCCATCGTCCACCTCACCAACCTTGCATTCATGGGCACACTGGTCAGGTGTGGCAATGGAAAGGTTTGTCTTTCTATTGCAACATGCACTGTGTGTGTCTTAGTTTGTTTGTTTGTCTGTGTACGTGTGTGTGTCAACTTTTACTCCATGTTTACCCTATTTTGATTTTCAGCAACGATTTTGTTGTGTGTCAATGACATTTTATCTCCCGTTATCCTGCTATTGCAAGTTCTTCAACACCATCATTACAACTGACCTCTTTCTCTAGTGACTCAAAATTGCAATGCACTGTTTTGGTTTTAAACTGCAGATGTTACCTCACAAAGCTTTTAATATATTTCTGTATTTTTTCGTATATATCTGTCCTGTGTGCGTGTGTTTGTATCTGTGTGTGTTGTGTGTGCGTGTGCGTGTCTGTGTGAATGTGTGCGTGTCTGTGTGAATGTGTGCGTGTGTGTCTGTGTGTGTATTGCATAACAATGCTGGTTCTATATCACCTCGTGTTTTTTCACTATTGTATTGTTCATATGATGGAACAATATCATTAATTTTTAAAATTTTAGCTAATGACTGATAGTTAAAAATTAATTAACCAATTAGCTTATTTATTGAATGATCTACTTGCAGGGTATCGTCATAGGAACAGGTGAGAACTCTGAGTTTGGCGAGGTCTTCAAAATGATGGAGTCGGAAGAGGTTTGATTTTCTTTCCATTCCTACACACTGGCATGGCATGGCACATGTCCCGCACATGCATGCATTTGCATACCTACGCCTATTTGAACATCCTTCCTCCAATGCGAGGAGTGCGTGCTTTTAAAATAAAATAAAAATATGTAGTACAGTACAACGGAGGAACTCGAGCAGTGCATAGGCGCATGTGCCACACTACATTACCTGCTCGGTATTTGTAGTGTCATTACTTTTCAGCAACACACCTACACGTGTCGCCCACCCATCCATTCAGGCCCCGAAGACCCCCCTGCAGAAGAGCATGGGTGTGTTGGGCAAGCAGTTGTCCTTCTATTCGTTCTGCATCATTGGATTCATCATGTTGTGCGGCTGGCTACAAGGAAGGGCGATACTGGATATGTTCACCATTGGAGTTAGGTGTGTGTTTCTGTTTCGATATTCGTGTGTCTGTATATATCTGTGTGTGTGTGTGTGTGTGTGTGTGTGTGTGTGTGTGTGTGTGTGTGTGGTGTGTGTTTATATGTTTATATATGTGTGTGTGTGGTTTGTGTGTGTGTGTGTCCGTTTGTGATAATTTGTTTAAACAAACGTTTTGAATTTCTATTTCGTTTGCTTGTTTTAATTTTGTTTTGCATGTGTGTTTTTGCATGTTTTATTGTGTGATTGTGTTAAGACCATGCATTATTTGGTCAGTCTTTTTTTTACATTATATTTGGTTTTCACAATTTTTTTTATAATTTTTATTTATTTCAGCACAATTTGTTAAATCAACTGCAGTAAGCTGCATGAATGTTAGATTAATTAATCGACGGGCCTATTGAAACACATTCACCAACTTGCACATCACTCTTGAATGGTTTCATTTGTTAGTCTGGCAGTGGCCGCCATCCCTGAAGGTCTGCCGATTGTCGTAACTGTCACCCTGGCCATCGGAGTTATGCGTATGGCTAAGAAGGAAGCCATTGTTAAGAAACTTCCCATTGTAGAGACTCTTGGTTAGTTGGTTGGACGGCTGGTTTGTTGGCTGGTCAGTCGGTCGGTTGGTCAGTCAGTCTGTTAATTGGTTGGTTGCTTGACTGCTTGGTTGATGAACATGACTGTTTGAATTAGTTGGTTGATTTGATGGATAACGTTTGTTTGATCGTTGAGTCAAGTAAAATTGATTTCGTTTATCGTTGAGTTGAATTGGTTTTGATTGATCGATTGTTTTTGCCACTCTGAGATTGTTCCGTAGTTTGATAAGCAGTTTGCGTTCGCTTGCATTGCCGATGCATTGAATGATTCATGCACGTAATAAATTAAAAAATCTCGCACCGCAGGTTGTGTGAATGTGATATGTTCAGACAAAACAGGCACGTTAACAAAGAATGAGATGACCGCCACACACTTGTACACTAGTGGTGGCCAGGTTCTTGAGGTCAGTGCTTCTGTCCATCAATGGCTGATTCTTTGTGTTATCACTATTTCTTTGCTTTTTGAACTTAATAATAAATTAATTAATTAATTTAAATAACTATTTATCATGTGGCTGAACTGTTCACTCCATTGTCTAGTTCATCGCCCATCATTAACCTCACTCCCCTGTATGCTACATGCCAGGTGTCGGGAGTGGGCTACAACAGCACGGGTGAGATTATGCTCGATCATGCAGCAATCAGAGCTCACACAAATAGGTCAATTCAGAAGCTAATCGAGGTCGGTGTCATCTGCAACAATGCACACATCAGTGGAGGTCAGCTTCAAGGTCAGCCAACTGAAGGAGCTCTATTGGCGGTCGCCATGAAGGTGAAGGACATTTGTTTGCGTCCATTTTTTCATTTTGTGTTTTATCATTTGTTTAGATTAGCTTTCATTTATTTATTTATTTTTAAACTCTTTTGTTTTATGGACGTTTAGTTTATGGTTTGACTTTTATATTTATTATGGTGTAATGTCATTACAAATACACATTACTTAGGAAAATATTAATAAACTCTGAAAAATTCCTAGGCAGATAAGCAAAGCCAAAAAGTGGCTTTAAATTTAAAGGGGCTTTGAATTTAACCAAGAAAACACCTATGTAGCAATAACATAATTTTAAATTTGTATTCTTGTTATAAAACAAAGTTAAAAGTATTTGACACACAAAGAAATTTTTAGCTGCAAAAAATTTATTTACAATTTCTGACTGATTGAGATTAAACTGTTGAAAAAATCTGATAACAATGAAATTTACGTTATTTTTACATCAACTTTGTTAAATATTTTATGTTTTTATAATAATAATAATAATAGTAGTAGTAGTAATAATAATAATAGTTATGCGATTGCGTATCTTTAGTAATTGTGCAACTGTTAGTACCATTTAAAATATTTATAATATCATCTTTGTTAGATATTATCAAATCATCAGCAGCAGCAGAAATATTCAAGTTAAGATGAAACAGTAATTTGATATTCATCTGGATGTTGTTTATTAATTCGTGAATTTAATAAATAAATAAATTAATTAATTTATTTATTTATTTATTAATTTATACTAACGTATCAATGCACGCACAAACAAGGCGAACCTGGACAAAGTGAGATATGAATATGAAAGAGTACATGAGTGGCCGTTCAACTCCGACACCAAGTACATGGTGGTCAAGTGCACCCCTCTCTACGACCAGGTGGGGTGGGGTGCTCATTAACATATGTTAATGACGATTGCGAATAAATTCATTTAATTGCTCTTATCTTTATTCTTAATATTTGTTTATTCTGTTTGTTTGGAGATGGTACTTTTCAATGTTTTCTTGAATGGCTTCAACCGTGTTCATCATCACAAGAGCAGCTAAAAATAACTTTCATCATAAATGACATAATCATAATTTATATTATCATAAATCAGAAACTTCAAATCAGCATCGTTATCAAAATTCACACATCCTGGTCATCGTCATCATCATCATCATGAAAATCTGTCTAGACGACTCATGTCTTCTTCATGAAAGGATCGCTAGAGGCAGTCTTGAGGCTGTGCTCCAAGTTTCTGACGTCGGCTGGCACGGAGGAGGCACTCCTACCCAGACATGAGCAACAATTCAAACAGCAGGCTGTTGACATGGGCTCGTCTGGACTGAGAGGTCTTATATAAATTTTATAAAAATGTTTATTTGTGTGTGTGTGTGTGTGTGTGTGTGTGTGTGCGTGTGTGTGTGTGTGTGTGTGTGCGTGTGTGTGTGTGTGTGTGTGTGTGTGTGTGTGTGTGTGTCGAGTATGTGTAAATGTTAGTCTATGTGCTTGCTCGTGTTTTTGGTTGTTAGATTTTTTTTAATGTTTTAATTGACCTGCTATCAATCAAAACTAACTGTTTTTATTTCTATATACCTTGTGGAATGCATTGCCATATTTTTGCCCTATTTTATTTAACCTTGTAACCTTGTAACAAACTGTATTTGGTCTGATTTTAAAAATTAAAAAATAACATACGTGTATACATATACATACAAACGATGAAAACATAAAAAAATCTAACATTATTTAGTCATTCATTCGTTTATTTATTCATGTTAACAAAATGACAATGAGGACAATGTGATGATGATGATTAGACTTATAAAAATAGCAGTCCTCATTATGATTTAAATAACAAATCAATGGTGTATATACATTCATACAAACAAATCTTTTTAACATATGTTCAGCAGTTTTTCATATCTACCTGCTTGTCTATCTGTTTACCGATTTAAACATTTATTCAAGCATACTTCCATTTATTCATTTACACACACATACACACACACAAACACACACATACACACACACAAACACACACACTTATTCTTATAAACAAACCAGTCCTAGCCCTGGCTTATGGTCCCCACGAAACAAGCATGGTGTTCGTCGGGCTGGTGGGTATCATCGACCCCCCTAGAGAGGGGGTGAGGGAGGCCATTATGCTCCTTCAACATTCAGGTGTCAGGGTTAAGATGCTGACTGGTGACGCCGAAGAAACCGCCCTGTCCATAGGTTGGCTGCCTGCTTGAGTGGGTGGATAGATAATTGGATAGATGGATGGACGAATGAGTGGATGGATGGACGGGTGGAAAGAATGATAGATGAAAAATTATAAATGGGCGGGTAGACACTTCTGGAGTTATTTGTCTGTATACTTATTCTGCTTTTTACTAAACAGATGGCTATGATATATTCTTCTTCATAAATGAATGTCAGGTGAACTCATTTCATTGCTTTGTAACATTACAGCTAATTAATTATCTAACTCCAATGTTCTAACTCCAGCGTTATACATTTCTAATGTCTTTTCATGTTTTCTTATGTTTGGATGTGTTTAGCACCTCACACCTCATGTATTCCTTCATAAATCTTAATTACCTTATTATCGCTGCCACACTAAGTTAGCCACGTTCTTCTAATGAATGAATTAATTAATTAATGAATGAATTAATGAATGCATGAACGAATGGATGAATGAATGAATGCATGCATGCATGAATGAATGGGTAAATAAATAAACGCAGACATGAATGAATGGATGAACGGATGATTTGTAACATCACTATTTTTTAACAGGTCATAAATTGGGCTTATATGCAACTGACCGAGAAGCTATGTCTGGTCAGTGCCGCTATTATTATTATTGGTATTTTTGCTAAGGGTAGTAGTATTAGTAGTTGTAGTAATAGTAGTAGTAGTAGTAATAGTGGTGGTGGTAGTAGTAACAGTATTTAACTATGTTATTTCATTACTTTTTCACTGGCACAGTTATTAATTTTTCTGAAACACTTGCAATCCCCCACCACCAACCACCAACCACAACCACCAACGGCTGCAGGCGACCAGATAGAGCAGTATGACGTTGAAAGGTTGAGCAATCTCATTGACCACATCTCTGTTTTCTACCGAGTCAGTCCTAGGCACAAGTTGAAAATCGTCAAGGTGGTTGCTGTTTGCTGCTGTTGTGTTCATACGTGTGCACGTTTGTGTGCGTGTGTGTGTGTAGTGTGTATGTGTGTAGTGTGTAGTGTGTATGTGTATATGTGGGTGTGCGTTTGTGCGAGTAGTGTGTGTGTGTGGACGTTTGTGTAAATATATAAATGTCCTGATCGTCGTAATCTATTCATCAGGCCCTGCAGAAGAAAGGTCACGTGGTAGGAATGACGGGTGATGGAGTGAATGACGCAGTGGCCCTGAAGAGTGCTGACATCGGCATCTCCATGGGCACGACAGGGACCGACGTTTCGAAGGAGGCCGCCGACATGATCCTTGTGGACGACAACTTCGCCACCATCCTGTTAGCTGCCGTTCATTATATTACTAACATCACTAGCAACACTTTTCATTTTGATCTGGTTTGTGGAAGTGCATGTGTATGTCCTGGTTATGACATTAAACTGACCCTCACTGCCTTGTGAGTGATGTTGGATCATCAAAGGCTAGGCCCTCCGCTTATAACTGTGGTTGCGTAAGGAAGGGCGTCCTGTGTAAAAATTAGCCAATAAAATATTTATGATGACAAACCGTTATTTCGGTTTCGGTTTCATCATAGGTAGCCAAACGGCGACCCCCGATCTAAACGTGTATTGTTGTTGTTGTGGAAGTGCATGCATGTATGTATGTGGGAGTGTCTGTTAGTATTAGTATTGCGTATGCTTGTTTTAACCTGGTGTACCTGACTTGATCACAAGCTCAGCCATTGAAGAAGGTAAGGGAATCTTCTACAACATCAGAAATTTCGTCAGCTTCCAACTGAGCACGTTAGTCTCTGCTGGTGTTCTTATTTGCTTCAATTTCAGTTGCCGACACCTCCATTTGTTTGTGCTGTTGTTGGCCATTTTGTTGAGTTGTCCATACAATAGTTCACTCGTTAATTCTTTCAATTACGATAGCTGCTCTGTTGTTTGCTTGCTTGCTTATTTTTTTGTTTTTACAGTTAATCATTTAACCAGTATATCAAGGTGTATAAATGCATGCATTCATTCTCGTATAAACGTACACACACACACACACACACACACACACACACACACACACACACACACACACACACAACAACAACAACAACACACACACACGTGTATACAAATGTTTGTGCACACACGTAATTGTACACAAACACAAATTGTTAGGAGCATAGCAGCCCTCACCCTCATCACTCTCTCGACCATCATGCAACTACCCAACCCACTGAACGCCATGCAAATCCTCTGGATCAACATCATCATGGATGGTCCGCCCGCCCAGAGGTACGTCATGATGATGGAAGTTATAATAATAATATTAATAATTATAATAAGAATAATAATAATAATGGTGATGGTGGTGATATTTGAATGAAGATAGTGTTAGTGGAACTTCAGTGAGGATTGGATACTACTCTAAAAAAAACCGACATGCACTGTTTGCCTGTGTGTGGGGTGGGCGTTATGGATACACATTATTAGAGAATACTTGCAAATCAGTGGCCGCTCGTTAAGATGCCTCATTTGTGGAAAACTAATGATATTGTTTAATAATCACCATCCACATCATCATTTTGATAATCATCGTCATCACCATGGCAACCAACTAACCAACCAACAAACAAACAAACACCTAACAATTGAAGTTTGGGCGTCGAACCGGTAGACCACGACGTGTTGAAACAACCGCCACGCTCGTCCAAGGAGAGAATCATCACCAAATCCCTCCTCATCAACGTCATCGTTTCCGCTGCATTCATCGTTGCTGGCACTCTCTGGATCTTCTGGAAGGAGGTCTCGTTATTGTTATTATTATTGTTGTTGTTGTTGTTGTTGTTGTTGTTTTCTGTTAAATACTAAGAAGTGGCAACTACACGCTGATAGAGTGCGCGCGAATACTCACAAAAGCACGCATCACACACGTCACATGTTTGTTTGTATGTATGTACGTGTGTGTGTGTCTGCGTGTGTGTATGTATGTATGCATGTATGCATGCATGTATGTATGTATGTATGTATGTATTCATGTGATAGGCCGAGATCTATTTGCATTAAAACCCTGTTACCGCAGCAGCAGTACCAGTTGCCTTGATCATCATTGCACCATCATTATGATAACGTGATGATGAGGATGGAGACAGGCTGATAAAAGGATGTGTTTGAGATTAAGAAGTTGAGGAAGATGACGATATGATCTGAAAAATGATGATGGTGATGAAATCGGATTAGGATAAGAATATTTTGTTATTATTATTATTGTTATTTTTATTATTGTTATTATTATTGTTGTTATTATTATTTTGTGGTGGATCAGTTGAGTGATGGAAAGATAACGAGACGTGATACGACCATGACATTCACTTGCTTCGTCTTCTTTGACATGTTCAATGCACTCGCCTGCAGATCTCAGGTCTGAAGATGATGGTGAAGATGAGGGTGAAGATGATGGTGAAGATGATGGTGAAGATGATGATGTCGATTACGATGATGATGTATATATAGATGAGTATGATGAGAATGAAGATGTCGATGATGATGATGATGATGTGGTTAAGGATGAAGATGTTGATGATGATGAGGATGAAGAAAATGATAGTCCTTTATGGATTTTGGTGATGATGAATGAAGAGTATGATAAAAGTATTGGAAATAAAAGTAAGCATAGTAGTATAATAAAGCATCAAATAAAAAGGAATGATTTTTAAGAAATTACCTAATAAATAAACATATGTCTGATTGACAGACGAAATCAGTTTTCACCATCGGGCTGCTTTCCAATAAGATGTTTCTCCTGGCAGTTTGTGGTTCTTTGATTGGCCAGTTGCTTGTAATCTACGCCCCGCCCCTTCAGGTCATATTTCAAACGGAGGGACTCTACTTATTTGGTATGCCATTTTATATTGGTTGTTGTTATTCGGAAATGACGTCTGATTGACTGTGTAGTGAGCCCTTATTGATGGATTGATGTTTGGGAAGAATGTTTGATGAGGTGTTAGATGTTTTTATTTATATCAGCTATGGATAAAATAAGTTGTTAAGAATGGTGGTTTTGAATGATGATGAAGAAGATGAAGATGAAGATGACGGGGAAGGTGATGATGAAGAAAAGGAAGATGATGAAGATGTATCGTTGCTGTTTGTGAAACTGATGTTCTTGGTTGTTATGAAGATCCTAATATAGATTATGATGATGATACTATTATAATGATGATAATGGTGATGATGATAATTTGATAATGATGATGATGATGTGGTGGTGATGGTAACACTGTTACAGATTTCATCTTCCTGATAATGCTTACGTCGAGCGTCTTTGTCGTCAGTGAGATTCGGAAATTTGTCGAGCAGACGTTTCAGAGGAGGCGGGAAAAGGAGGAGATGATGAATTCACAGAGAATTGAAAACTACGTATGATGGTGATGTATATGGTGATGATGTTCGTGATGGTTTTGTCATGGTGATAATGTTATTCATGATGATGTCACAGTGATGATGTTACAATGATGATGTCACATTATATTATGTTGATAGCGGTACGACGGGTGGGCTGATGTGCAGGATAATGCGCATGATAAAATATTGTTGGTGGTGATAAGAGTGAGGATGATGAAGAGAGAGAGAGAGAGAGTATCTCAATTTATCTAGTTGTCGGGATAATAAACATGATGAAAAATAAACCATTGAATTAACGATGATGAAAACGATATCAGGAGAACGATAATGATGTCTATAATGATGACGACGACGATAGTTGGAATAACGATGGTGATAATAATAATGATGAAAATCCTAAGAATGAATGCTACAAAGATGACCTACTGTAATGATTATATTTCTGATAATAATGACGATGATCATATTAATAATGATGATGATGATATTGACGATGATTATGATTATGATAATGAAATCGCAAGTAAATAATTTATATTTTCATCTCAAAGACCGTTCGTTAGCTAGAGGGGAATATTCGAGTATACCTCACAGAAATGAAATTTTGTCCAAAAAAAAGTTAATATATCGTTCTAAAAATAACTTCTGATTGACATCTTAAAATCAACGTTTTGATCTTTCTAGGCTGATAATAATAATAATAATAATAATAATAACCTAACAGACATTTATGCATAACGTAAAAGTCATAAATAATGTGAAAGATATAATATTTTTTTTCATATGCACACGATCACATTTCAACTTTTTTTTTTCTTCGTTTAATAATAGTTTTAATAATATTTCATTTTTTGTAAGTACGGTTCTTTTACTTTATTACTGTGTAATTATAAAATGTGAATGTATCGTTCGTTTCACATTTGTAGTCGTCATGTATCTTTATTTTTGGCAATATTGTCAAAAAAATAAAATAAATAAATAGTAATAATAAAATTATTATTATTGCGTTTAGGACATTGTTTAACATTCAAACATTTTAATTTTTTTTAGTTTTCATTATTTTTTTATACCATTTTTAAATATATTAAAATAAAATAAAGACCACGTCTTCACTGATGTTTATTTGTTTATTATTTTCATTATTATTATCATATACGACACACACACACACACACACACACACACACACACACACACACGCATAAACAAACAAACACACATGCAAACAAATTATGACGGTGTGATTTATTACTTTCTAACTAACTGCATAATGGAGTCATATATGTGTGTGTGTGTTTGTTTGTGTGTATGTGTGTGTAATGTGAGAACGAAAGATTGTTACAGAATTTGTAGGAGAAGTATAATGAATGCATCGCAACACGTTACATTATTTAACATCGGTGTAAAATAATGTCCTATAATGATTTCACAATAATAATTTCGTTAGATCTGAGCTAATGCAAAGTAATATTGATTTTTCAATAATTATACCCACACACATACACGCATGTATATATATATATATATACTTACATACGCGTATGTATATATATATAACAATTATATATATATATATATATATATATATATATATATATATATATATATATATATGAAAATATCATATTTCATATTGTTGTCACCCTTGACGTTTGTAACTCCCAACACCAATGTTATAGCTTCAATGATCTCTATTTCCATCGCCAGTGTTCTAGCTTCTAGCGATCGTCAAGTTTTCGTTATTTCATAGGTTCAAGATTTCCGATAGATGAACACAACTGCTTCAAACGTAAACTTTACTGAACGTTTATTTGAAAACCAACTGTACTAGAAGCACTAAACTAATCCAAGTAACTACAGAAAGCACATTTACGTCTTCTCTTCAAACCTGACTGGAAACCTATGTCTTCAAAGTATCGTAAAAATAAGCCTCTATAAGATCCTCTTCTTTAAAACTACAAAACGCGACTCAAATTAATTTCATCCAGTTTAAAACATCAAATTAATTTCATCCAGTTTAAAACATACGGGACCTTCAATATGGTCTAGAGTTGTCCCCGTAGATTATATAAAATTTGAATAATCTGTATTTATTTAAAAAAAGTTCGCAAATTTGCTTTCCAGCTTATATCCCGACACCATCTTCTAAGCCTGATGTTCATACCTGTCTTTATTTTATTTTAATAATTGTTAGTTTCGTCAAAGTACTGACATGATGTTTTCTTTTTTTTTTAATTTTTTTTATTTACGTACTTTATGTTGTAGTTAAGGGTGGCCTATTCACAACTTATTTTGGTTTTCCTTTAGATATAAAAAATGAAAAGAAATAATGAAATGAAAAATTATATATGTATATTATATATATATATATATGAAATTTCGTATACAATATACAAACGCGTGTATGTATAAGGTATATATTTTGTACATATATTTATATATATATATATATATATGTATATATATTTATTTATCTTATATTATCAACATAATTACGAAATTAATGTGATCTAGTTGTTGTTGTCGATGATACTATTGGTGATGATGGTATGGTTATTAACGGGGAAATGTATGATGAGTCGTTCGTTATCATTTGTCCGTACGTTTTGTGGCTGTCAAGTCATTTATCTGAACGTATGCTCCTCTTCCAGACACATAGGAACAGTTTTTGATGTTTTTATCAATTTATTAATATCACCTTTTTATCCATATTTATATGTTTGTGTATACATATGTGTGTATGTACGTATGTGTGTGTTTGTGCGTATATATGTGTGTGTGAGTTTGAACCATTAAACTATATATTACCACCATTTTATATAGCTTATGTGTATATATATTGAATAAATTAGATAAATGTATACATTTTACTCAAAAAATTATTAATTACATTAAAATATTTCACTTGAATATAAACTTTTAAGATATGCCAATTTAATTTTACTTATTAATGTAATGTAATTGGTGTAATTATCGTAACGTAATTGGTGTAATTATTGTAACGTAATTAATGTTATTAATGTATCTATAGCACCTTTTCAATCAAGATCAACATTAGGTTTTATTAGAAAATTGGTGTAATTATTGTAACGTAATTGATGTTATTAATGTATCTATAGCACCTTTTCAATCAAGATCAACATTAGGTTTTATTAGAAAATTCCATATAAATAACATGTGAACAATGTTAATTAGTTTTATTAATTAATTAGTTAGTTAATCAATATAATAATTGATTAATTAATTAATTATGAAATATATTTATTCAAATATAAGTGTATGTACGTATGCTTGTCTGTAAGTACAGTTTTGGTATGCATTTTATTTTTGTGTATTTTTCAATTATTTTTGATAATTCATTCAATTTACTGGATTTTTCGTTTATTTTTGAAATTATTTATTCACCTATTTTTTATATATTTTTATTCATTTATTTATTTCAATTCATATATTTATTCATTTGATTATTTATTTATGCAGTTCATGTTCACCATCCAGCTCTAGAACGCATATATATATATATAGATATTGGTAGAAGACCATATTTTGTAAAGTATTGTATAAATTCTACCGAATTGTTGGTATTTATGAATTTAAAGTTTGTTTTTTCAATTTCCCTTTCTAGAATTTTCTGAAAATTATTCAATTTATAGAAAATAGAATTATTATCCAAGTTCATCATGCTAATACAATGAAACTTGTTATCTAAATTTATCATGAAGATAGGCCTTATTTTAATTTGCACAAATCATCTTCAGTGCAGGTTTGGTTTGTATTGTTTCTTTAAACAAGGCAAAGTTAGTTCTTTAGCGAAATGAGTTACTTAGTTGGTGTCATATTCTTCATCTTTGTTGTCATTTTTTTTGTTCTTCATTGTTAAAGAACTTAGTATTAAGGCGTCAAGTTGGCAATGATATAATCATTATTGTTGGACGTTTATTTGGTGTTTATTGATATCTAGTATTAGGACAGCTTCTACAATTTTTGGATGTATTGTGTTGGTGTTTTGATACATTATTTTTTTGTTGCTGTCAAGAATTTGGTGTGTGTTGATTGTAAGTAAGATTTGATGGCTCCTCTCTGTGTATGCATTGTGAGACGTTTTGATAGGGACGTCTTACTTTCGTTTTGTCGTAACACCAATATACAAATGTTTTGCTTTGTTTAAAGAAACTATCTATACCAAACCTGCACTAAAGATGATTTGTAAAAAATCGAAATAAGGCCTATCTGCATGATGAATTTGGATAAAAACAGTTTCATTAAATTTTCATGATGAACTTGGATAATAATTCTATTTTCAATAAATTGGACAATATCCAGAAACTTCTAGTAAGAAAATTCAAAATACAAACTTTAAATTGATTAATGCCAAAAATTCGGTAGAATTTATACAATACTGTATGTATATATATATATATATATATATATAAAATAAAATATATATATATATTATTGAGTAAATCAGATAAATATGTATATATATATATATATATATATATTATATGTACACATATAATTTATTTTATATGCATTTCATATTATGTATATAAAATTTATATTGTATAAGTAATATTAATGTGTCATGGTTATGACATTAAACTGACCCTCACTGCCTTGTCAGTGATGTTGGATCATCAAAGGCTAGGCCCACCGCTTATAACTGTGGTTGCGTAAAGAAGGGCGTCCTGCGTAAAAATTAGCCAAATAAATTACTTATGATGAATGGCGTCGAGGGGTATTTCGGTTTCATCATAGGTAGCCAAACAGCAACCCCCGATCTTGGGGAAAATGTCGTCTAAACGTGTGTTGTTGTTGTATAAGTAATATTAATGGGTTTTTTTGTCTTTTATTTGTAGACGTTTGAAACTCTATCATTAACAATATAGATAAATTTATGTATGCACTTATATGTTTGTATATGTGAGTGTGTGTGTGTTTGTATATGTGTTTGTATGTGTATATGACGTATACTACAGACATCTTGTATAAAAAATTCATTATTTTAAACAATTTTTTTA